AGTCTGTTCTATGCTTCTATGTCTCTGGATCTATTTTGTTCATCAGTTTATTTTGTTCCTTAGATTCCACATATGAGTAAGATCATGTGATACTTGTCTTTCTCTGTCTGGCTTATTTCGCTTAGCATAATACTCTTCAGATCCTACCATGCTGTGTCAAAGGGTAAAGGATCCTTCATTTTTACAGCTGCATAGTATTCCATGGAGTAAATGTCTGAGAAGCTCCTTGACATGATTTCAATCTTCTTGAGCTCCTTGATACGTGTTTTGTGTTCTAACATGTGGTCTATCTTTGAAAATGTCCNCATGATTTCGGTCTTCTTGAGCTTATAGATACTTGTTTTGTGTTCTAACATGTGGTCTATCTTTGAAAATGTCCTACGTGCACTTGAAGAGAAAGCCTATTCTGCAGCTTTGCGGTGAAATGTTCTGTAAATGTTAATTAAATCCATCTGATCTAGTGTGTCCTTTAGAATCACTGTTTCCTTGTTGATTTTTTGTATGGAAGATCTATCCAGTAAAGTCAGTGGAGTGTTAAATTCCCCTACTGTGACTGTATTGCTGTCAATCTCTCCTTTAAAGTCCTCCAGAAGTTTTTGTTGTTATTGTTGTTTTCCAGTGTGTGTGAGTCTGAACCATCTGGGTCCAGAAGCAATTCAGGCAAAGACTTAAAGCACCCAGAGGCCATTATTCAGTCTCTTAATGAGCCTCAGGCTATAAAAATTCCACAGGGTAGGGCAAAAGGTTTTCCAGCAGGGTGGGGCAATTGCCCCCTCCCCCCCAGGCAAAAGCTGCTTGGAAGGTAAATGTCTGCCTGAGAAAAATGTCCTCTGTGGTATGGAGGAATGACTCAGCACAGGAATCCAGATGGTTGCCCTCAAAGCTCTATCTTTAGAGACTGCAACCCTGGATTCTCCTCTCTCAGCTCTAGTCCACTCTGCCCTCCCTCTGCCAGAGCCCTAGGTGAGTGGCTCCCTTGAATCCAATTTCAAATCCTACCGCCTAGAGCATATGAATCACACTTTTTTGATGGCCCAAAGCACTTCTTTCTGCACCAGATGGGTAATGTATAGTTATGTTCAAGATGCTGACACTGAGTTGTTTTACCATCATTTTTCCAATTGTTCCCTAATCATTATCAAGTGCTTATTTTTATGTTCCAGGTATTGGGCTCATTCATTGGTCTAGGAGTTGCCCTGATATTTTTCTCTTACCCCCACGACCAATCTATCAAGTGGCCTGAGAGATTCTTCCAAACTGTGTGTTGTTCCCAGCCACTTTTCCACTCCTCTGTCTCCTGTCTGGACTTCCAAAATAGTCTTCTCACTGGCCTCCCACTCCCATTCCTACCCCCATGCTTCCGTTCTCCATGAAATATCTGGTTTTTATTTTTTAAAATATTTTATCACATCCTGTTTCCTCTCTCATTTTTGTTTTATTGTTTCCTTTGTTCTTATTTTTTAAACCACTTTACTGAGGTATGATTGACATACAAAAAGCTGTACATATATCTAATGAATACAACTTAACCAATCAGATTTATACTTACATATATAGGTACTGGTAGTTAAGTTATGGCCTGGAGATCCAATTTTAAACTCTTCTTTGATTCCTATAATAAATCAAAATTAGTCATGAGGTTTCTTTTATAGGTGGCTTGATTCTTGTTAACATTTTCCTTACAGTTTTTCTGTTTAATTTTAGAATTATAATTGGCCTGAAATTTTCCTTCTTCATTTCTCATATGGTTTTGACTTCCAGGTTGAAGTAGCCTCATAAAAGAAATTTAAAGTTGGGAGCATTACCTCTTTTAATATTTTGGTTACAGTTTGTGTAAGATTCTGATTATTTTTTTTAATGTTTGAGAGTTTTTTGTAAAACAGTTTTGTTCTGGGTTGTGTGAGTTTGTACATTTCAAATTATTGATTTAGTTCCTTTAAGTATTATGTGATATTAAGGTCTAAGAACAAAATTACCAAATGTATGTTTTATACAGGTTTTAATGAAATTCTCTTATATTTTTATCACTGCTCTATCTGTTATGTTCCAATTAAATAAGTCCTGTGAATTCTGATTTGTGTTTTTCTCTTTTTTGTTGATCAGTTTCTATGAAAGCCAACTTTTAGTTTGTTGTATTCCTTTTTGAGAGATAGGACATATAGCTTAATGGGTAAATGTATAGGCCTTGGAGTGAAATGTGCTCAACTGAGGAGGTGATTCAGAGAATTTAAGTATCATACAAAGTCATTTGAGCCCAAAATAAAGTGAGTTCTCAATAAATTTTAGTTATTATCTTAATTTAGTTCCTCATTATTTTCTATCTTTTGACCTAGTTAATTTCTTTCAGAGCACTAATCACTCTCTGAAATGATCATTTTTACTCATTTTTATTTATTTAGTCCATTTTAAAATTGATAGATTTTCTTTCCTTATTTTTCTGTAAGGAGAACTTTATTTTTGCTCCAATAACCATTATATCCAAAAGTTGGAATCATGCTCAATACACAACAGGTACTCAAAAAAGTGAATAAATGATAAAAATAAAATAAATGAATTCCTAACAAATAGCAGATTACTGATAGGATGGTCAACAGAGGAGAATAATTTGATGGGGGAAAGACAGAGAGCAAAATTTGGAGCAAGGGCCACTGCAGAAATGAGTGAGATATTTGATGGAAGGCTCTGGGTACCCAAAACTCAACATGAAGGACTACCTTTTTCAGATATTTATATTTGACAAAATGTCAAATATAAAGTTATATAGTTTTGTCTATTTTTGGCTTTTGTGCCTTCAATGCTAGAAATATTTGTGGAAATTACATTGTTGGCAGAGAACATCATACAGATTTTTAAGTACAATGGGATTTGGGGAGGAAGCTTTCATTTTTTTACGTTAGAAAGCCAAATTTTGTTTCCTAAATTGATTATCTTATTCTAAAAGCCAGAAAAGCAAGTGAATGCTTTTTAATTTTATATTATTTTTTCTATTTTAGAAAATAAAGAACTTGATGCAATTAAAAGTACGTATAAAACTATTTGAGTATTGATTTCATTACTTCGTTCCCTTGAAACTAAATTGAGCTCTTAACTGTTGTGTTTTATTCACAGAATATCCAAATTGGAATCCAAACGGGAAAGCACCACAGCAGACAGCATGTAATTTATTGTGCCTAGTTTATGCTCTTCTGAGAATGTTTTAATTTTTACTTACGTACAATAAATTTACTCTCACACATGAAAATAAAGTAACAATTTATGGCAAAATGTTAGTCTCATCAATTTAATTATTAAAATTTCTACACTCTTATCATCTAAATTTAATGTCTGTTTTTAATTCAAAAGATGTACAGTATTGCAGTATAGAAGAAGGGCAGTAGTAAAAAAAAATCTTTCCAGTTATCTTTTTTTAATCCTCACCCAAGGATACGTTTATTGATTTTAGAGAGAGAAGAAGGGGGGGAGAGAGAGAAACATTTATGTGAGAGAGAAACACTGACTGGTTATCTCCTGTATGAGCCCCAACCCGAGATTGAATCCACAACCTAGGTATGTGCCCTGCTCAGGAACTGAACCTACAACCTTTTGGTGTATGGAACAGTGCTCCAACCAACTGAGCCACCTGGCCAGGGCTCAGATTATTTACTTATTTACTTACTTACTTACTTATTCATTCATTCATTCATTCATTCATTCATTCATTCATTCATTCATTCATTCAAAAAAACTATGTCTTTATTGATTTCAGAGAGAGGAAGGCAGAGGGAGAGAGAGAGAGAGAAACATCAGTGATGAGAGAGTCATTGATTGGTTGCCTCCTGCACGTTCCCTCCTGGGGATTAAGCCTGGAACCCAGGCATGTGCCTTCACCAGGAATCGAACTACGATCTCCTGAATCATAGGTGGATGCTCAATCACTGAGCTACACCGGCCAGGTAAGATTTTTTTTTTTTTAATTACAATTTTACATGTATCAAGAGTCCCATTCTCTAATTTAGAAATTGTCATTTTAGTTACAATAGACCTAAAGAACTAAACATATGCTTCACATATAATTTATATAATCCTCTCAATAATTGTATGAGGTAAATTATATTAATTTTTATTTCTTGAATTATCAGTAGACTTAAACATTTTCATAACTGCACACAGATTTGCAAATATATTTTTTGAGAGTTATTAAATTAGTCTGGGGGAATGCTGTCCTTTTAAGGAAGATTTCTAGGAGTTGTTGCATACATATTACCATACTAAATAAATATTAACCTCAAGAATATAAGAGTAATGTAAATTTAGGAGGCAAAATTTTATATAACTATTCCCAGGTTTATACTTGATTTTACCATTTTGACTTTGGGGTAGCAGCAAACTGTTGGTTAGTTCCTGAGAACCCTTCGACCACCTTATTTTGGCTTTTTTTTTG